TTTGTCACAGCCCCTCGTTTGTTGTCCTCTTCCCTCGTTTGTTGTCCTCTTCTCTCTCTCTGCCTACGGTTTTACCGGGCAGTTCTGTTTGTGACAATATATATATATAATATATATTATATATATTTAAAAAGAAAAAATTAGAGGTATGTGTACATAAGGCAGGGGTGTGGGTGTTTTCTTTTTGAAAGGGCAAAATGGCCTTGAGATATCATCGTTGTTGAACTGACCGGCCCCAGATAAACTGAGAATGATTTTAATTATTTAGTATCATACTATCATTTATTGAAATTTATTCTGGTCATCTGGTGGCATCTGGACTTGAACTCGGGCTTGTATTTCAACAGTTCGTGGGTGTACCAACTGAGCTACCGGTAGGCCCATGGTTGCACCCCTGCTGACCGCCGACCCCGACCGCCGACCGTATTGCAGCCGACCAGTAGGGCCAACGGGTCGGCAGTCTGCCGACCAGTCAGAAAACAACCATCCACTGATGTCTTTTCAAATCTGAGTTGGGGGCTGTACTGCACTTGCTGAGTACAGCCCAAACTTTAGGGGATTGGGGGGGGTTGGGGGGGTGTATGGGGGTATTGGGGGCCGCTATGGGAGTGTTGGTGGTGTCATTAGGGGTTCTGGACCCCCCCAATTTTTTTTATTTTTTTTTTTTGCGGGGTGCCGGCGACCTGCAGTCGGTGCCGACCGATCGGGGTCGGCAGCCGACCAGTCAAGGGCCGCCGACCGTCGGGGGGTCCAACACTGGTTTCAGTTTTTCTTCTGTTATAGTTTTCTTATTTTGAGCAGGAAAAGCAACCAGAAAAACTCAACAGAAAAGATGAGGGAAGGGACAAAAAATGCAAAAACAAAAACAAAAAAAAAAAAAAAAAAAAAAAAAATACACCTTGCGCCTGACTTACACGTGGAGACTTAGCAGCTGCAACAAAGGCGCGGACGACCCATCGTCCTCCTCCTTCCTCGTCTACTCAACCCCTCTGCCCGCCCAACAGAAGAGGGTGTGATCTTCAACCGCACATACCTGGGATAAACAATGGTTATTGGAGGGCAGGTCGTAACTCCGAGAGAAAGAAAAAAAAAAAAAAAAAAAAAAAAAAAAAAAACTAATAGGAAGGAAGTTTGAGGAACTGTTCCTTTTCTTCTTCAGCTTCGGTCTAAGGCTCTGGGAGCACGCACTTCTCTTTTTTCGCATTTCTCTCTTCATTTTCTTTGTCAAGATATGGTTTTTCGTTTTTATTTGACTTATTTTACTCTGCCACCCACCCGTCCCCCACCCGCCCCACACGCTACACTAAATACATGGTAGTGGGACCTCCCTCCAGGAAAAAGAGAAAGGAGAGAATTAAAAAAAAAAAGAAAAAAAAAAGAAAAGAAAAGGAAAGGAACGTAGTTAAGCTATGTGCAGAGAGCAGCACCCAAGCCCCTCCTTACACCTGGCGCGTCCACAACCAGCCGTGTAGGGTATGGTTCTCTTGTTAGGAGGGAGTGCTCGTATCACCTCTCCTAGCAAGGACATAGGGGGTAGCAGTATAGTTGGCCTCCTTTCGTAGCCTTAGTCAATGACCCTAAAGGGCTTAAACCCAAGTACGTAGGTAGGAGGGGTGGGGGTAGTGCGAGATTAAAAAATGGCCTCCCTTCCGCAGCCTACGACCGTAAAGGGCCTAAACCCAAGTCTGTAGATCGGGGTGGTGGGTAGTGTGAGATAAAAAAAAAATACAAACTCATTGAGAGAAAAGTATAGACAAGTAAGACACCACCCACTCCAGGCAGAGGACTCACAGGTGGAACAACAAAATGCCAGGAGCAGTCTCGCTATCCCCCCATGCACTAACTTCACCAACCCTTCACCAACTTTTGTGGGAACAGCTAAACCCCGGGGTTGGGTTTGTTCTTTTTTCAAGAACTTCGCTAAGTGCACCAGCTGCACCAACCTAACTAACCACTAACGGAAGACTTAACTGCAATTGCTTCGCTTGTAACTTGTCTGAAATTGCAACGCTGTCGTCTGATCTTCCACAGCTAAACTTCAGTAAGCTTAACTAACTGCAAACTAACTGCACACTCACTGCGCACTAACTGCATACTCACTGCGCACTAACTGCACACTCACCGTGCACTAACTGCACACTCACTGCACACTAACTGCACACTAACTGCACACTAACTGCACACTAACTGCACACTCACTGCGCACTAACT